CATCTTTACATCTAAAGACAATCAAACAAATGTCAATACATATAAGGAACAGCCTTAGAACTGACAATGAAGGTATTGGTAATATTTTTTGCCTTTTAGGATTAACTATCAACAGGAAAGAAAGAAGCAATCAAGAAATATACCACAGGCTAACATTTGGTAGAACAAGTACAGCATGGGTGTCAAACTCGCCGTGTCACATGACGTATCACGACTTTTTTTGCATTGTGAGAGCTGGGGTGGATGCCTCTTTGTGATGCAACCAGCCCGTGGGCCGGTAGTTTGATACCCCTAACTACAGTATGAAGGACTTGGAAAATATATTCAAATGCTCCGATGCTTAAAAAATACAGAATAGTGCAGTAATAGTATTCCCTATGACACAATATGAAAATAAAAGTTGGATTTTAAAGGAAGAATATTGATGTTTTTGAGTTTTGCTGTTATAGAAGATTCTTGAGAATATTGTGGACAGCTAAAAAACAAGCAAATTAAAACAAATTTGTTGAACAAATCACCCCCTGGTTCCCAAATAATAAGGCTCACATTATTCTACTTTGTACACATTATGCAAAGGCCTAGATGTATGCATAAGACTCTAATACTGGAAAAAGTGAAAGAAATTAGGACCAGCAACTTGTTCATTAAGCAAAGTAATCACTAAGTAATACTGCAACACTGATTATAATCTTACTTCAGTTTCCTTTGCATTAAAGATCTGTGAAGGTTATAGATGTGAGGACTGGTCACAGTTACTTTTTCATCACCAGTGTAATTGCAAAAAGTTATTGTAAAAGGCAGTTGCTAAACAATATTTGTAGCAAAAGTTTTATTTATAGTCTTAGCTTATAGAAACTGTTAGGTGTCTTCGATTTATTGTTAACTTATTTATTTGATTTTTATCCCTCTATAAAAATAACTTCATAAGTAATTCAAGACGGCAAACTTGTAATATTCCTTCCTATTTTTCTCACAACAATCCTGAGAAAGTAGGTTTTCCTCCTTTTACATAATGTATATCAGTGCTATTATTTATGCATGCATTAACAGTGTTCTTTATTTTTAATTTAGCAACATCGTCTTGAAGGACAAAAATTGAGGTAAAATATGGTAAAAAAATACTATTCCTGCCCTCTGGAACATTGTGCCCCCCCCGGCTGAAGCAAGATCTTCACCCACCCTTTTGGCCTTCCAAAAGGGCCTGAACATCTGGTTCTGCCAACTGGCCTGGGCCTGCAATGGAGTTGTGTCATTCTGGAGGTGGCTAAGGGTGGATAAAGACAAGACTTAACTTCCTCCCCATGTACCGTACATCTTTCTCCGGTCCTCTCCATTATGGTCAATTTTAATTCACATTTAATTCTTTCATTTATTGTTTTAATGTTTTATGTTGGCATTTTGATTGACTGATTGATTGACTAATTGATTGATTGATTGAAGCCACCAAGAGTCACCTTTGGCAGGATGGGCAGCATATAAATTAAATAAACATACATACATAAATGTAAGGCAAATTAAGCTACTTAAAAATATCAAATGGAACTGTTCCTGACAAGGCCCTGACAGATCTTACCAGATCTTACTTAAAAGAAAACTTGATGACATTACAGCGCAAGAGAGTATAGAATTCTAATGAACAAAAAGGTAACTTAATGTAAATAGTGCAAACTAAAACCTGAGGTAATAAAGATGTAGTTAAAATTCATATCACAGTTCATGGTAACACTGACAATAGAAAAAGTACATTACTTGTTTCAATAGCTCTTGATTTGTAGTGACAAAGGCGTTCATTGTATGGGATTTTCTGGAATCTACCTTCCAGAATCAGAATTTGTAAAGCATTGCAATGGCAAGTGTGAGAACCCTCTGAAATGTTAGTGTAGCAGATTGAGATGTCTGACAGGCATGTCTAGTGACATCACACCCCATTGTGATCAAAACTGAATGTAGAAGCCACAATAATGCAGCTTATCCTCCAGCCCTCTTTTCCATTTTTAAATGAGAAAGTTATTTAACACATGTGGAGCTAAGTTACAGAAAGTTATTAGCTTTAGTCACAATTTGAAGATGCGATTTCATGCACCAGCTCCAATTTTAAGAAACTTCAACAGTTTCTATATGAAGAGCAGCATATGAATAGTTTATTGATTGATTAGTCTTAAAGCCTTATCAATAAAATGACATAAAATACAGTACATATCTAATTCTGGAGTAAGATAGATAGGAGGAAATAGAGTGATAAAATATGTATGTATTAACACAAGGAGTCAAATTAATTTCCCTTACAGGATACCTCAATTTGTTCAGTGGGTCGGGTTCTTGGGACCACTGTCGTAGTTTATAACTTATATGACAATTATAACTTATATGACAATCAGATCCCCGTGGGGTATTCTTTCTAGTAGAGATGATTTAAATATTTAATAGGGGCATATAATTGACAGTCTAACAAGGTATGAGAAATATTTTCAATGGTTGCAGTACCTCATATGAAGGTTCTCTCATATGGCAAGTGGTGGAAATGCCCATATTTGACCATGGAGTCCAACAACTCAAAAGCTTGCTCTAGAATAGGCCCTTCTTAAAATTTGTGTCAGACCCAATGATAGGTATTTTTCAGGTTGAAAAATAGTTTTATTCATGGCCAATCAACCTATTATTTTTAGCCAATATTTCCATGTAGATTGGAATAATAATATCTAAGGCTGTTTAAAAACTTCCCGGCCTTGAGAATAGATATCAAGTGTTATGAAATAACTAGAAAGTTGGCTGACTCAGGAGTTGACTTGGGCCTTATCTGTTCTGTTAAGTATATTTTGGGAAGTCTCTCAGAGTCCATTGAATGGATCCTCTGCTAGTATGTGGAAAGCTTAATTATCAAGTGGCTATGTAAGAAACGGATATCTGTTTCCATTCAAAGTGGTGTCTTGTCAGTTCCCAGTACACATCTTTAAAAAATGGACCTGAACTTGTTCAAGTGGGGTAGCTTTATTAAAGCCCCACAATTCTGCACATTGGGACTATTTTTGCCCCTAATACTTTCAGTATAAAAGTACATGGATAATGTAATTAAATAATTTGTATAATCTTTTAGTATTTATCCCAATTCTTCCCAAAGTTTTTTTTAAAAAACAATTTAACTGTGACCCAATGCTGGTAAACTCACTAAGTAGGTAAAATAATTCCCTTGTTCCAGACTCCTCATTTATCTTCCAGCTATATTTCACACTTTTTCTGCTAACTACTGTCACTTTTAATTTGGTTTTGCTGCTTAAAGAATTAAGAGCACAGCATGTATTTAGCTTTTGTAGCAGTCTTCTGAGATGGATTCGGGAATGTGCCATTAAAACCATGTCATCAGCACATAAAAGGATGTTAATAAATTTTCAGCACATAAAAGGATATTAATAAATTTATCATGGATCTTTGGTATGAGTGTTTTATAGCATACAGGTAAATCATTGACACAGAAATTAAAAAGCATGGGGGCTAGGATACAACCCTGTCTGACACCATTAAGGGTGGGTATACTCTTCGTTAAAGAAGAGTTACACCTGTGCAATCTTTCAAATGGGTATTTCGGTTGAGCCTTAACCAAAAATAAAGAGTCTGGGTTCCATATTTAAGCTGGCCAAATTTCATCCACAGAATATTTGTATTTATGGAATCAAAAGTGCATTAAGTTGATAAATATGGTAAAAAGTTTCTTGCGATTTGTTAATTGTTAAAGAGTATATAAAGTAAAACTATGTATTGTTGAGTGCTCTGGTCCGAATTCAGCCTGTTCCTCTACTAAGATATTTTTTCCCTGAATGAAGGCAAATATATCTGTCCCAGGATAATGTTGCAAGATCCAATCTGGGTCGGTCACTGGGACCAGAAGTTTAGTCTTCTGAGCTTTCAGACTCATGGTGGAGCCCATCCTCAGGGAACTTCCCTCTAAAGATTTTTTTCTACGGTATTTTGCTTAACAGGAGTTTCACACACATTTTATCCACAATTCCAATAAGGCTTATGATTCTATGTAGTTAAGATAGAAAGATACAGTCACCAGTTCTAGTTTTGAGTACAATTTTAACTGATTCAGTTATGGTTTTGTTTTATAGAAATATATTGTACTTCACAGTCCAACTGTCAATTTAAGATTTAGCATTAAAATATCCAATTAATTCTCCAGGACTATGTAATGATATACTCGTTTGTCAAGTTAGTTTTTTTACTGAGAAATGATGCAATATTTTAAAAAGTAAATAATTGCTCATTGACATTGCAACATTTTCATGATCACAAAGACTCTGTCCTTCTCTTAGAAATGCAGTCACAAGATGATCTGAGCTTTGGTCACTTTTTTCAAAACTATAGACAATAAGGACTGATAATAAGTTTTGCTTTTCGGGGAATGAGTAATAACAATTTGGAAGAATTACTTCCCACTGAAAGAATCAGGCATAAATATTTAATTCAAAAAACTTAAAACTGTATTTTGATAGCTAATTGTTTCTTGATTTATTTTACATGTATAACTTGAAAAACAAACCTTTTCCTAATGTTGAAATTAAAGGATAACAATGAATTAGAATTGTAATGAGTTTTGTAGCTTGACAACTTGTTTAAAGCAAATGTAAAATTTTCTGCATAAACAAAACTGTAAATATATGTTTTGTTCTTATAACTTCCTCTGATTATTTTTATACTGTGATGGTATAAAAATCTGGATACTAACTGATCTTCATTAAGATCTATCTTACTCCATGATTGGCTTGTGTAGTACCATATAGGATTAATGATCAGAGCCAAACAGATTTCTTTAAAGTGTTTAAATGTAGGTTTTCCAAATCTGAATATATATATACATATATATATATATATATATAGGGTTCTGGTATGCATTCAATCTCAGTAATTCACAACCAATTCTTTGATGCTAATGTTTATATTCTGTTTAAGGAAAATAATGGCATTTGGAAACTTAAATATAATTAGCAATTATAGAAATGAAGGAAATTCATACACAAAAGTTTTTATTCTTGAAATATCTCATTTTGAATCTGAAATGTATAGGTTTTAAATAGAATGGTCAGAACAGTTGTTCATACCTGAAATAGAATGTTTCACCTATGAAATATTTACAATTCAATTTTTTTTGTGTTATTAGTTAATAACATAAACAACCAGTTCTTTAATTCATAACGTAATCCATTTATCTTCTCTTCGAATTGATGATCATGCAGTACCTGGATTATTTACATGTACATGCTCTAAAATTGATCTATCCAGAACTCTTTCAATGAGAACTTCTTCTACAATACTTATGTCCTGAAATAAGAAGGAAAAGAAATCAGACATTCAAGTAAAATATTGCAACAAACAAAATCTTGCTTAGCTGTGAAAGCAGCCAAATTGTAGGCATCAGTAATAACTTTATTAGCAATAATAAGGTTACACCCAGCTTAGATATTTTAGGATGGTAACCCCTTGATATTTCATTCACATATATGACAACCTATAAATTACAGTTCCAAATAAAAGGAAACTATAATTGGATGTATTTCCCAATAAGTTCACAAAAAAACCAACAGAATGTCTTTTTACAACAAATTCCTAGTATGCTTCTTAGAAAGATTTGTAAATAGAAGGTTCATGATCCAGAGAGCAAACAGGATACTATCTTCCTCTGAGAACTTTGTATAAGAAGAATGGATTCTAGTAATTTGAAAAATAAACACATATAAGTAACTTGTTCAGTAAATTCTAGATTGGTATTCAACATCTGAACAAATTGCTCTGGCACAGCACTTTCAATCTAAATTAGTTATTCTCCACTGAAGTCTTTAGTCTTTGCAACCTATCCACCAAATAATGCTTTTGGAATCTACAAATGTCCTTGTACATTATGAGAGCTACAGAGAGATAAAGAAAAATTCAGATAAAGATTCAGCAGGGGTTAGGGAAAAATGATATAATTTACTCACAATATAATCTTCATAATAGAATGTATGTCTCAGCTGAAGATGCCTTATAAAACTTCTGATGTAGTAACTTGGACCACCACCAGGTAATAAATGACAGATTGGACAGTACTGTAGACAGTTCAAAGTGGGGAGAAATAAATAATAATTTTTGTCATTATTATGTACAACATGAATTATTACTGAAAAAGAAAAAATGTTAATTATATCTAAATTATTATTGGTTGAATAGAAGCTTTCAGACATTATTCCCTTTCTATCAGCAGTAAATTCAGTTTATTTCTTCCATAGCCTATATTACAAATGCTATACAAGAATGTAAATATCCTGTCTGTAAAAGCAGTTGGTCCTGCTTTAGATCTATTTAGATCATGGGGAAAATACAAAAATAGTTCATTGTTCCAAGAACATTTTCAACTTTATGCATCTATAAACTAGTGCCCTCTATTCATGTAGACCTCAATGAGGCATAAGAGATGACCAAATTCACAGGTTAGACAAATCACTGATTTTATAAATATTGTTAATTAATAGATCAAATTTATCTGGGTTCACACAAAATAACTAAGCCATAAATTATTATTTATAAACTACAATGGGTGTATTAATGCAAAAGCACAACAATAGGCTAGGCAACATTAAACCCATGGACATATTCCTTGGTACACAGCAGGCTCCGTCTAATAAACTTTTTTTTAACTTAAAACATAAATGGGAACCTTGCATGGTAAGGTAAACATGTAGCATCATTTTTATTTCCAAAAGTGCTTCTCGATCCTACATAGCTGGGGAAAACACCCTCACACATTATGGTGTTTTCTGACTGGTTATAACCACCATATACTGAGAGAGGTCTGTTTGGTGTAGGGATTTAGCACATCAGGCTAGAAACTGGGAGAATGAGTTCTAGTCCTGCCTTAGGCACAAAGCCAGCTGGGTGATCCTGAGCTAATTATATACCCTCTCTCAGCCCGAGGAAAGAAGAAGCCATGGCAAATCACGTCTAAAAACTGCCAAAAAATTTGCAGGCACATGTTCAGATGTTTGCCCAGTCAAAAAGCTGACTCAAAGGCACAAAGCAAATAAACAAAAACAAAATTCCCCACCACAACAGCTGTTTTGCAAATATATGTCTCCTGCCATTTCAGGAAAGTTCCTATGATATAATCTCTAAATTTCAAACATTCCAGAGAATAAATATAGTTTTCTCCTATAGTAAGCAAAATACGAAAACAAAACTACCTAAAATTTACAGGTATTTCTCCACTTATGTTTCAAAATTATTGCATGGGTAAAAAAAGTGGACTTTTGACCCATGCCCAAAATTAGAGTTGTTAAGTGGTCACATGATCAAAATTTGGTTGTTTGGCAGCCTGCTCATACTTACAATCACAGGAATAGTTCAATTCCCCCCCCCCCCAATCTGCATGTTTTCTAGTGATTTTCCAAAGTCAGCTTTGGACAACACAGCATTTCGAAGGCTCAAGGAGCCACATGTAACAAACATTCATCAGAAAAGCTGGGTCCAAAAAGGAGATGGCAAAGGCAGTGGGGTACTTCTCCTTCAGCCATGATGGTTGGGTGGAAAGGGGGAAAGGTCAGTATGGGGAACTGGAAGAGAAGGCAGCAGGTTGAATGAATACTTGCTGGGGTGGGCTGGGGGGAGTCCCCAGGGTGGAGCAGTGGTTCTGGAGCTGCTTGCCATCCTGCAAAACAAGGTGTAGGGTGTCTAAAGGGCAGAGATGGGGAAGAGGAAGCAATCCCTTACCTTACTGAGGCTCGAGGCTAGGAGGGACCAAAACTGGAATGCTTGCATTGGAATGTATAACAACCCACAATTCTTGGTTAATGACAATAGGAAGTGCTTGGATTGCCATTGTAAATTAGTGTGGTCACATCATATTTCTTTACAACTTCATTAACTTAGACCACAATCTCGGCCCCAAATGTGATCATAAATCAACCTGTATGGTTGGTGATGTGTGAACCCAGTCATGAATTTGTTTTTATAGAAAGTATAGTTCCAAACTATAAGAGGACACCTCACACCACTCTATTTTATCTAATTGAACGTTCAGTTACGCTCATACTAATTCATGGATAGATACAAGATGTAGAAATGCAGCAGAATAGCCAGCTATTACAGGTTACAACAACAACCAGCACTTTGCTGTGCTATATTTTTTACTTTACTGTATTTATTAAAAATCCAGCACTGGATTTTTGGAAGACAACTCAGAATAGGTCTCTGCCCAATTACAGACATAAAGGAAACCTCTTCCATGGATGAATGTTTTGTAGCCATAGGTAGTTTTAATTACTGAACTATTTTTCTTCTGACATATGCTGGCAGTTCTCTCAAGTGAGTTTAACACCTCAATGAAGCTTTAAATATATTTTAATCTAAGAAAATTTACGATTTGAAATTGAGAATTAAAATTATTGCATTTGATCACAGTGAATGATTATTTAATAGTTGTTTGATTACTGTAAATACCTTCCTCTTTCTAAATCTATGTTTATTACAATTTCTCTGATCAAAGAAGCACACTAATGCATTGTGTTACAATGAAGAGTCATAATAGATTTTCAAACATGCAAGATTGCCAAGATGAAACAAACAGGAGAACCAGCTTATGTTAATGAAAAAGTTCAAAGAAATGTTCTAACAATTTTAGAGTATTTCTATAATGCCACAAATGAGAAGTTTTAGTTCTGGAGCCTTTGAAATCTACATTTCACAAAACCTTCCTTAGTCAGCAAGCTGCAGAGATACTTTTTCATTAGATGTATTGTTATTAAGAAGTATCACTTATTAACATATCACGACATACATATGTACATTTATCTAATTTATCATGCAAGTGATTATTAGGCTATGGACATAAATCCAAATGTAAGAAAAGTTACCACTGGTCTTCTTTCAGTTCTGTGAAAAGTGAGAAAATGGTCCAAGAGATCATTTTCATCCAATTCATGCTGACAGAAAGGACAAGGATACCTGAAAACAATGAACAGACATGTATAAATACCCACATTTTCAATGTTAGCTACTAAATACATTCTCCAATTGGTAGTTATTTTGGACAGCGAATCAATCTGCTCCTGAGAAATAAGTCTGTAACAGTGTCTCCCCATAACAAGTTTTAATACTCACACCCAAGCCGCTGAGATATGAAAAGCTAAAGTAGCTAATAAATCTATAGACTTGTCTATCCTTAATTTTACCAAGATATAATTTACCTTGTTTCAGGGTATGCAACTTCTTGTAGAGGCCCATATTTTTCTATATATTGGCCACAAGTCTTCAAATGAGCTCTCATTTCACTAAGGCACACCTGAAACATGCAAAGAGATACCTTGCTAATTAAAATTTTACACTTACAGGTTAATACTTTAAAAATAATTTTGACTTTCATAAAAGTGAAGTTACAAAGCAAGGCCAGTTCAAATTTCTCTCAGTTGGGTATCACATATTACTTACAACTCAATATAAATTACTTTGAAAAATTGTGTATAGGAATATGATTTAGAAAGTTGAAAGTAAATTATGGAGTATCAATCATTATTTACCTGTGTTTTACATTCTGAACAGTTTTGGTGTGTATTTTTCATCATTTTAATAATATCAGTTGCTGGAATCCCTTCAGAAGAAAGATGTGCTCTGCAATATGGACATGTCCATGTATGATGTCTTAAACATGTGGTAATACAAATGTGACAAAATCTGTCAAAGAGAAAAAGAAAATGTTTTTCTACAAAACTCTATTTTAAGGAAAGCAATCTAAAATATGGACACACCCTAAAAATGATTTCTGTCTGTTAATAGTTTTCTTTATTTGAGCATTCCAATCTGTTGGACTACCGATAAAGAATAGCTACAGAAGATAGTATGCTTTGATATAAGGCTGTCTCTGCATTACCTAGTTACAAATTAGCATCAAAGTATTTACCTATTAGTGACTGAAAATAAGTGACTTGTAATACAACTTTAATATGAGAGGTCAGTGCTACAAAAAGAACATAAAATAAGAGGCTTCAGTTTTAATTTTGCTCTCATTTGTATGCATAATTTGCAGTAATAAATTTCATGAATGAAAATGTCATATATTTATATTTTCTTCCCAATATACTTCCTCTTGAATTTTCTCAAATTGAATCAGTCAATGAAGTACCTAATGGGGAAGGAAGACCACTGTATTTCTGAAATGATTATCTGTGACTGAATGAAATCAGCTGATTCATATAGCCTTGCATTGATATGCTATATAACTCCATGGATATTTCTGTCAAATGGCTTTGTGGATAATGCTGAGAGAATGATAAAATATGTGTATAAGCTTATTGTAACAAAAGGTAAAATAGCAACACTTTTTCAATCCTTTTCAAAGCTCTCTAAACTTAAAATACAGCAGAATTGCATTAGTATTACTGTATGTGTGTGTGTGGACAATCTAGTTCCTGAAATCTGGAAAATATCATTTGAACAAAGAAGTCTTTGTAGTGCGGAATTTAGGCCTGGATTATTGTCCTGTATAGTAAATTGAACAGACATTATAATAACATATTGGAATAGTGCAAAAAACAAGGTGGGCAAGATATAAACTCTAAATTTAAACAAATAATTAGGACATATGTTAATGTTAATTAAATCACAAAGCTGAGTACTCATACTGCTCTATGAACGTTAAAAATATATATGTAATAGAAGAATCAGAGAAATCAAATATTACAGTCATAGCTAGGGTGAAGTACAATCAATTAAAAAGCACAGAAGATGCATCAGAGTCTTCTTTTGTGTCGCTAGTGGGCCCTGAATATCTCCATCAAGGTAATCTTCCTTACTCTCTACATTTGATGTATCCAGAATATAAATTAAGTTGGTAGTAACTCTGCTAAGGAAAGTCATCTGGTACTGCAGAAAATGACAAAATGTCTTAAATTGACAATTGTCAGGCCTAGGTTTAAGCATCACATTAAACAATCAATTATGGTTCACTCACCTCTATTTTCATATTTTTTTACCACTTTCACATTGCTTAGCCACAATGTGGATTATCTGGCTCAGTTTAATATTATGTGTATATCCAAATACTAATGTGGCATGATTTGTTAATCAATAATGCACTGAGCATTACTGTCTTGGTTTGTTGCCTATATCATCTGAACCTAAAAACAAGATTAGTATTTGATTAGGTGAGTCCTTATCAGCCACAATTATTAACTACAGTTTTTTACTGGCAGCAAGGCCAGCCTTAATTTAATGTGATGTCTGAACCTGGAAAATAGTGCAGGACCTTTTACAAAGTAGAATAACCCTAATTTCTGCTTCTCCATTTTCTTTTTCTCTACCAGGCCACACGTGATACCTACTTTTTGATAACAAACTGGCCAGGAGGAGAGGAAAAAAACTAATGACAGCAAGCTAACCAATGCAAATGTTGTTGGAATATTAATCAAACAAGAAATGGACTAGTAAAATGGAGTTGATTCGTTTTCTTAGTTATATTCATTAGGTAAGCGCCTTAACCATTGTTAACACTAAGCCATGATAAATCTATCATGCAAACATATGGGCCGAGTTCAGCTCCACTAATCACATAATTCCTAAGTATGTCAATCTATAACAAAATCATTTTTGCAGAAATATGAATTTGCATAGATTTAAAATCTATTCTGTCTCCTAAATATTAGAAATATATTTATATTTTTATACAAATACTGTGTTGGTATTAGAAGTTGCTATTTTCCTTGCTCTTGCCTGGTATTTTTCCCCTGTATTTGTTTCTTATGCTATTGGTTTGTTTGTATCCTGCCTTTATTTCTTCTTTAATTTCCAATGTTTTGGTGATATATATATATATAGGTCTTTGGTTGTTCGGGTTTTCTCCTACGTAAAATTGGAAGTGTCTTGGCAACGTTTCGACGAAGTCCCATTCGTCATCTTCAGGCTGGTGTTTTCAGCTTCGTGCTTTGAGCAGCAATGTGTGGTCTTAGCTGTTTCTTCCTTTTAACTGCCAGTGGGGGTATGAACTGATTGGGTGGGAGCTTGGCTGTGTTCTGATTGGGTGGAGGTGTGTTCTGAATGGTTAGGGGCTTGGCTGTGCTCTGATTGGCTGGGGGAGTGTTCTGTTTGGTTGTGCTCAGGTTAGTCTGAGTTGCAGAGGGGTTTAAGATTTTGGGCTGCCTTGCTATTTTTTGGCTTCGCGTTCGTGGTTGTGCCTCCTCTTCATGGAGGGTGTCAGTTTGCTTCATGTATGGACTGGAGGGGTTTAAAGTGGCTAATGATGCAGCTGTGGTCTGGCTTCTGGTTTGTGGTCGTGCCTCGTCATCGGTGTGGCTTTGGGTTTGTTTTTTGCGTGGATGTGTGGTGGTGACATCCTGTGTGGTTTTTGTGAGTGTGGGTCTGGTATCATTTGTTGTGTTAGGGAGTCGTTTGTCAATAAGGGCGGGTTTCCAAATGGCTGGTAGGCGGGAGGTATCATCTCGCTTGTTCATGCTGTGTGGGCGTTTTTCTATCTCGATGGCTTCTCTGATTATTCTGTTATTAAAATGTTCACTTTTGGCAATGGTTCTGGTATTTTTAAAGTCAATTTCATGTCCTGTGGCTTTAAGGTGTTGGACCAGGGAAGATGTTGGTTCCTCTTTTTTGACTGAGTTCTTATGTTCTTCAATGCGTGCACTTATTCTTCTGTTGGTTTGTCCGATGTATGTGGTGGGACAAGTGGTGCATGGGATTTCGTATACTCCTTGATTTTCTAATTCAATTTTATCTTTGGGGTTTCTAAGGATGGTGGATATTTTTCTGTTTGTGCAGAATGCTGTTTTGTAATCTTATTTCTATGGAAGGTTTGTAGATTAGGTTTGTAATCTTATTTCTATGGAATCCATTGGATGTTAGTACATTGGTGAGAGTGTGTAGTTCGGGTTTTAGGTGTTGTTCGTCAGCTAAGCGTTTTGTTCTGGAGATGAGTGTCTTGGCTACAGAGTGATACCAGACCCACACTCACAAAAACCACACAGGATGTCACCACCACACATCCACGCAAAAAACAAACTCAAAGCCACACCGATGACGAGGCACGACCACAAACCAGAAGCCAGACCACAGCTGCATCATTAGCCACTTTAACCCCTCCAGTCCATACATGAAGCAAACTGACACCCTCCATGAAGAGGAGGCACAACCATGAACGCGAAGCCAAAAAATAGCAAGGCAGCCCAAAATCTTAAACCCCTCTGCAACTCAGACTAACCTGAGCACAACCAAACAGAACACTCCCCCAGCCAATCAGAGCACAGCCAAGCCCCTAACCGTTCAGAACACACCTCCACCCAATCAGAACACAGCCAAGCTCCCACCCAATCAGTTCATACCCCCACTGGCAGTTAAAAGGAAGAAACAGCTAAGACCACACATTGCTGCTCAAAACACGAAGCTGAAAACACCAGCCTGAAGATGACGAATGGGACTTCGTCGAAACGTCGCCAAGACACTTCCAATTTTACGCGGTAGAAAACCCGAACAACCAAAGACCTACATACAAACACCCGCGAAAACCTCAGAAAACATATATATATATATATATATATATATATATATATATATATATATACATACATACATACATACATACGTATGTATGTATATATTTTTCTTCTTTTATTTTATTATATATATATATATATATATATATATATATATATATATATATTAAAATAAAAGAAGAAAAATACATTATCAGTTAGGAGAATGCATGGATAGAACTAGTAGCATACTAGTAGTATACTAGTATACACTTGAATAGGTCAAAGGGGTCAGTGTATTCATCGAAGTCTCATTGCCACATCCTGCTTGCTCTGGTACAAGGGCACCCACCCATCATGAATGTACAACATTGTCCTCAACCAACTTCCAGCCTCTGCCCTTTATGGCTCTTTTGGTGTCAGTGCTGTTTCAGAAAGGTGAGATTTTTGGCTGCCTGTTATTGGCACCAATAATGTGTTTCCCCACCCCCCTCCTCTCTTGCTCCAGAAGGGAGTGCCTGGACAGATGCATTTTAAGGAACTTTTACAGGAATGAAAAGACACCTCAAGAAAGCTTTTTGAACCCTGATTGGATTAAAACAGACTCATCAAATTTACTCTAGAAAAGCTTGGAGATTAGAAATTAGAAACTGATATGCAAAACCAAAGGTACTATCAGGATGACCTGTAACAAGCATACTGTCTTGGAGATGTTAAAGAAATGCAATTTACATTACATTTGCAGTTTATCATCTTTTTCTGGATAGGTTTTTATAAGGACAGTTTTATAGATCTTTAAAAACATATTCATTCTATTTATATCTTGTCTTTCTTTCAAAAGCAAAAGGTGACTTAAATTTTATCATAGTAACAATTTTTAGATGTAGGCTGGGCTGAATGGGTGTGATGGGCCCAAAGCTACAAAATTTCCATGGCAGTTCACTTGGCAATGATTTTTGGAAGTGGTTTGCCATTGCCTCCTTTCTGCCTTGAAGGGAAGTGACTGGCTCAAGATTACCCAGGTGACTTCATGCCTAAAGCAGGAATAGAATTCACCATTACCAAAGTTCTAGCCTGACCTGAATGAATTTCATGACAACAAGCCCATAGTGTTGTTTGACATTCTGGCTCAATCAAATGGATTTCAAGGTTTGTCCAATGTTGCACTGATAGAAAGCTATCGCAAGGAAAACATATCTAAACTGAAAGAGGCATGGCAGTCAAAACATTATTTGGCCAATCAAGCAGATTAAGATGCATTTGTTTTAATTTGTGTGAGAGGGGTTTTGTTTCACCTAAATTTCTTGGAGAGAAAGGGGTGTGAGGCTGCTAATCATTGAACATTTAAATATTTACCCAAAAGAAAAAATAAGGTATTCATCAAAAAAATCAATTATCTTTTGAGAAAGCAACTAAAATTTAGGGCTGGCTTCCATAACAGTATTTTTATTTTATATTATCTGTATTCTGCCAGGATCACATGACATATAAAAATGATTTCCTTTTCAAAATATAAATTTTTAACCAAATCATGTATAAAAATACCTATAGCAAGGTATTAGTTCTCTTTTGCCAGAACATCTTGTTTAGCTTATCAAAATATTGAAGAATCAGAGGAATGAATCAACCTCTGTTTCAGCAATATAGTTTGATTCAAATTTAATTTTCCTTTCTTTTTCGGCATAGGAAGAAGTACATTTTGTTTTCTAATGCCATTCTCGAGATAAATTCTCTTGCTTAAAACTAAAATCATCCATGGAGCTTAGTTGGACCAAATTTGGAGCTAAATGCAGATAGAGGAAACGGATGAACATTTTTATCGTTCTTTGATTTTAAGAAAAATCTTAAATGTTCTTACTGAATTTACCTATACATAACATCTGAGACTTATATTTCCAATACGTTTGTGTTGCAAAGCACAGCAGACGTAAATAGAAACAAAGTTTTACACGTGAATAGAAGACAATCTATACTTCCTCCAACACAAGTTTCCCAAAGCAGGACCAAAGTACGGTTCAGCTCCCGTTTCCCAACCTGAACTAACTCAGAGAAGTTGCACTTACACGTGGCCACATTTGGTCCTTACAGGCTGGTCGAACACTTCCAAGCAGATGGCGCACTCAAAAGAGGGAATTTGCTGCTTTTCCACGTCTCTTGCTCGATCTGACGGTTGTGGGAACTGAATACTGCCTTGGGGGTAGCCAACATCCGGCGTCCTCGCCGTCTCCCGTCCTTCGCCGCTTAGCACTGATCCCATCGCCTAAACGAGCTCTCACGCTTTGGCGATGGTGCTTGCGGCTGCTGTGCTGGAGGCGCACTGCTCAAATGCTTTACACCCAGAATTGTAGCAGTTTTGCAGGATTTCCCCTTGAAGCAAAACAAAAGCGTCAGCTTTCCCACTTGGACCTCTTTGGGGAAGAAATCCCGGAGACGTTCAGCCGCGGCTGCAAACCTACGCAAGCCTTATTGGTGGTGGCGAGACCAGTCCCAGTCGGCACAGTGAAACCTGACACCTTCAGATAACAAAGTGGCGATCAGAGGCAGCCCTGGCTTCGTTTATTGGCTGGCGCAATGTTTTGTTTTGTTTTTCCTGGGATCCCAATGATTTGCGAATGGCCTCTGCATAGATGACCAAAGATGATTCTTTACCGGGTCGAAGGGAATTTGTTTCCCGGTGTGGCTGGATTGAACTCTAAAATACTCTTTGCTACGTGCGGGTGTCATCCATTATTGTGGTCAGGAAACAAATTACTTATTTCGTAACCGAGCTCATCTCTCTCTCTCTGTCTCTCCCAGCCGAATGAATGTACAAAAACTAAACTAAACTAAATCCCGAGAAAAAGGACGAAATCTACAAGGGAAAACACTAAGCAGCGGTCCTTTTCTGAAACTAAACACTTAAATTCAGATGTTGCCTTAAGGCAGTGGTTCTCAACCTGTGGGTCGGGACCCCATTTGGGGTCAAACGACCATTTCACAGGGGTCGCCAAACAAGGCTGTCCGCCATTTTTTCCCCCTTTTCTTTGGCCATGCCCCTGGCACCCGATGATGTATAAGTGGTTGGGGGTCACCACAACATGGGGAACTGTATTATGGGGTCGCGGCATTAGAAAGGTTGAGAACCACTGCCTTAAGGTAATGGTTTTAGTTAGCCTAATCAATAAATCATACTAACCCAAATATTTCCTTGTTCATATTTTATTGGTAAGTTTGCAAAAATATTTTAAAAATCTAATTATAAGCAATGACTAGATTCACAGAACACAGCAAGACACAGACCATGTGAACTGAAATCATGGTTTATGGTTTATTTTAGTAGAAGAAACCATCTCTCCCCGGTGAGACTGGACTATGGATCTCATCAATCAAGGAATTTTGGTTGGCGGGGTCCAGGAGAAGAGACTTCCTTACAGTGGTCCCTGCCCTTTGGAATATCGGCTTCCCTGAGGTGAAATGTGGCCCACTCTTCTGACCTTAAATTGGCTCCTTTAGACCTGGCTCTACCAGGTAGCTTGGGGCCCCAGGGGACTATCACACTGGAGGTGGTAGAGCCAACCTCATCTCCCCCCATTTGGCTTCCGCCTCCCCCCTCTTGGAACTATGATTTTACTTTGATTGTACTTTCATTTTATTGTTTTGGGAGTACTTATCTCTGACAGTTGCAATGCTTTTATATTGTAAACCAAGGAGATTGGCTTACAGCAAATAAATAAATTTTTGTCTTAAAAATAGTTTAAGAACTGTGGCTTGGTGCAACTTGCAAATGAGACTATTATGCTGCATTCTGCTTTCTGGAAATGAGATCTAATCATTGTGATTTACATGCTGTTCTACAAATGAACATAAAACATTAATAGTGTTCCTATTCAGAATCCAGGAAGACAACTATACCTTCCTCATTTTCCCATGTATTGGCTTTGCCTTTACCCTCAAAATCAGTTGGCTCTTGGCTTAAAGCCCAAGGTAAGTGTTCACCAAATGGTTTTCTTTTCCTGTTTTATTATTATTATTATGGTTGGTTGCACGGTAAGCCAGAAATTTCAATACTGGATTTGGCATTTTTATCAACCTATCCAGTCTTTCCTAACAACCTGGGATAGACAGATCTTGTTTAATGGCATTAGATATCAGCTGTTACAAGTAAAGCTGCATTTTGCAATTGACTGATAGTGATCTTGTCAATGCTGATAGTGTTCAAGTGGTGCTTCAATTGTTTTGGGATTGCACACAAAGTGCCTATTAAAATTCGTACTACTTTGATTTCTTTTGTCATAGTCATTCTATTTCTTTTTGCATGTCCTTGTATTTTGTGATTTTCTCCAGTTCTTCCTCTTCTGTTCTGCTATTATTATTTTACCCTACCTTTATTATTTTTTATAAATAACTCAGAGTTAATAGGATCATGTACTTCCCTTTTTTTTACAATACTTTAGATATTAATTTGTGTCACAAGTTTCCCTTGTGTATCATGCTGTTTTGAAAAATGTTAAAAAGTTTCTAGCCTACAATCCTACTTTAAATGCTCATGTATTTAATTCATCTCCTCATGTCACAGGAAATGGTTTGACATTGTCTTCTCTCAGGATTTTTTTTTTACTTCTCAACCTAGTGTACAGTCCTAGTATTTCATGAAAACTTCTAATCCAAGTATTAACCAAGTCCTACTTTGCTTAGCCTATCCAGGATGGCTAGGTGATCCAACCTAAATTGTTCTACTATTTTTAAAAGAGTTAAACTTCAGAGCAGTTTCATTTCTATGTTCTCAAGAGTCAGGTTTCAATTAAATCTAGGTAGGAGTATATAGGTTCCATATTCAAGTATATGTGCACAGTAATATGGCTGGCCTTTCATTATTCCATATTATGAGAAGGACAGATTGAAATCTCTTCATTCTACAGGTGGATTCACATGTTTGTGTAAGTCATAATTCCTTTGGTTGTGTGAACTGCGCCATTGTGATTTGTAAACCACAGCTTATAGTTCATGTTGCAGGAATCCACCCAATCTTGAATTATTAGTAAAATTAATAAAATTGATACACATATTGGTACTTATTATATTGTTATTGTTGCCATTTGGAAGCCAACAGTGAGACTTATAAGGCCATAAATTTATCTATCAATCAATCATATTTTAAAAACCACCCAACTCCCTCATTAGTGACCAAAGTGCAGGGGAACAAATGGACCCTGAGAAGTTGTGTAGCAATATAATAGGACTAGGCAGCAGAATCAAGATGGGCAATTATATAAATTCAGTAAATGCATGTATTTTGAACTGTAGCAACATGTTTGAAAAACAGTACTGTTTTATATGAATCCCATTTTTAAATAATATAATCATTCTGGAAAATCACAGTTGTATTTCTTATTTTTTGTATTTTTATGTCTCTATAAACTGGTGTATTGCAGCCAAAGTGCACATTTACATATCTTTTATTTATTTTTTTTCTTTTTGGGCAGCTCACATTTTGATCTTTCCTCCATTTCACCTTTTTTTCCTTGCCTATTGTTCATTTTGCCTAAGATAAGAGACTGAAATAAGTGGCCATTCATATTCTTGAACTATGGGAATCAGCCATTGTTTCTTTGTCTTGATATAATCTGAAAGCTTTAACTCCTATTTATGACTAATTTAATCTACAGTTCTTATCTTTAGACTGTATTTAAATTGCATGCTTCAGGATCCCAAGTCTTAATTATTGGACTTTTTAAAGATTTCTTTTATTTTAATGCTATTTAATATGATAAAAAGTTCTGAAGAACTCAAATTTTTGCCTTTTCTAAAAAATGAACTGTATTGTCTAATTCTGCATTTGGGTGTTTCCTTTGTTTTGGTATGTCTTACTAATCCAATCAGTTTTTTTTTTTAAAAAAAGCATTGTCTGGCTAGACTCTTCCCCACACTGGGAAATTGAAGAGGCCCTTTCTTTCAATTTTTACCCTAAAGCAGAGTAAGGTATATTCTTATCTCCCTTATATTCAATTACTCTTGAATTTACATATTGCAATAAGCATCATGTGCTGTGTTTTTTTTGGTGCTGGCTTTCATGTACTGTATGAATTAAGCCAATGAGCATTGTATATAACAGTTTACAGGGAGTAATCTCTGCCTTGCAGGATTCCTCCTCCCCCCCCCTCTTTTTGGTAAATTCCTTTCCAGACATGCTGCAGATTTGGCTATGAGATTTTGGATATTTTACAAATTGAAATAAAATATCTAAGGGAATTATTGTGTTAAGTTTTTACAATACAGGTAGTCTTTGACTTCAACAGTGCGCTTAGTAACTCTTTGAAGTTACAACAGCACTGAAAAAAGTGACATGAACATTTTTCACACAACCATTGCAGCATCCACATGGTCACATGATCAAAATTCAGATGCTTGGCAACTACTCATATTTATGATGGTTGCAGTGTCATGGGATCATGTGATCACCTTTAGTGACCTTCTAACAAGTAAAGTCAATGGGGAAGCCAGATTTACTTAACAACCATGCTACTAAGTTAACAATTGCAGTGATTCACTTAACAACTATGGCAAGAATGGTTGTAAAATGAGGCAAAATTTGCTTAACTGTCTCACTTAGCAACAGAAATTTTGGGTTCAATTGTGGTCATAAGTCGAGGACTACCTGTATAATCTCTCTTCCCTTCATAGTTCATCTCTTGAGAGAAAAAAAAAACAGAAATCCTTAAGTTTTGTCAAATGTTCCTTGTCAGAAAAAGCCCAGCAGGGGGAACCTTACTATATTCCTCTTTTAGTCCTCATCAAGTAAACCAACTTTATAAATCTTCCCTCAGTTTTTAAGGATCTCACTTTTTAATCCAGCCCTAGTTTTCTGTTAAACTATTTTTGTAGTCACAGGGCTCTCAAAAATTTTAATAGGTTTTTTTTTTGTATATTCAATAAATAACATTTTGTCCTTTAGTTTATTCCTATTAGAGAAATCATTCAAGACCTTAAGAAAATTATTCTGTATAGTCAATAAGAAAACAATTATCCAAATCCAAATGGATTTCTTTGTTCAATTGTTGTACATCTTTAGGGAATAAAACATCAATTCCATTTGTATTTCCATATCTTTCACTGCTTATCATGGTTAAATTTCCCTTCAAAGCAATTTCAAAATTATCTGTTCCAGCTTGTTTTACACTGTAATCTCACTGCACTATGCATTTGAGTAAGTAGTTTATTTTTTCAAAAAAATTAGCAAAAAATGTACAACTTCTCTTATAGAATTCTGCTTCATTTTTTATCTTTTATCTCCCTCTTGTGTGCAGCCTTCCAGGTTTCCTTACCATAAAATATCCAAAACAAATATATTTTCTTGTAATTAAATCAAATCTATAATTCCAAATCAATTGGGACGATTGATCATTTTTAACTTTCTGAAATCCATATTCCGAGCATTTTTTTGTTGTATAATCCAAACATTAATATATTTCAAAGGTTTTTAAAAATTTGCATCATCTTCCTGTGATATTGTTAATCTTAGAGCAAGGGGTTTTGTATGTTATGTGTAGCTCTGTACGGAAGAAAGTCAGAAGTTATTTTTCTATTTTTTCTTTTCCTGAACTCCTAACCTTGTTCCCTTCTTAACCTTTTCTATGTTATTTTTTCCTGTTTTTGTATATTTTACTCTTTGTTAAAACTTAATAAAGTTTTATTTAAAATATTGTATCATCTTCCTCAAAGGGTTTTCAATCTCTCCAATATAATAAAAATAAATCCAAAAAATGGTTATTAAGCTTGGTCGAGCTTATTGTCCACAGAAGTCTGCAATGCAGAGGTAAGCTTGGTGGAACCCCATCGCCCACAGCCAGTGTCAAATGCAAACAATAAGGTCCATACATGAAGAATTCAATTAGCTGATTATTGCCCAAGTCTATACATAGAATCTTCTTGGACTAATGGTTTACACCTGAATGAGACAATATACAACAGCATTCAAAGGAAGTTATTAGCCCTTCAGAATAATCTGTGGAACTGTTGGTACAGAAGCA